TGAAATCCATAAATTGTAATTTTCTAATTCTATCTTTTATTCCACTTTTATTAGCTGGTGTTCTTCTGTAAAGGAAGGCTTTCCTGCCCATCTGATGACCCTCTTTTTTATTTTGTGTTGCATATCACTCTGGACACATAGATCTTTTTTTAAATTTGATTTGTCCAATGTGGGCCCCTTCGAAGCAGTTTGTGTCCCTTTGGCATGAGCTCATTAGTCTTTGAGCACATCTTTCCTTTCTAGTGCAGCAACATATCATAGGCTTGCCTTCTACTTTCCCTTCCCCCGCCCTTGAATCAGTCATTTTTTAAAAATAAGCCTTGATTCCTTTTACTGGAAAATGATATTTAGAATCCAAGATCCAGGGACTAGTCATGCTTATTGCTATTAATGTGAAAACACCTTTTGAAAATGAAATCTTCAGATCCCAAAAAGGAAAATAGATAGGAGGGCAGCTTTGATTTGCAGCTGGGAGCTCAGAGCCCGCCTCCATCCCTAGGATTCCATCATAAGAGGACTGAGACAATGAGTAACTTCTGCTTCTTAAACTGTACATTTTTTTTTCCAGAAAATATATCAATGTTTCATAATCTAGAACTGAGTGTCCCATTATTGTGCTCCAGGGATCAAAAAAGGTTTGCTTCCATCTTACATAGAAAGCATTCATTGTCATCGAAATTGATAAATGCCAACTTGAACAGAAGCGCAATTTCAATTAAGAGGTTTCTGATTCTGAAAAAAATTTTCTGAATTTTGAAAAGTCAAACACATCAACCATTGAATTTTTCATTTGTTTTAAATATTAATTTTTCTTTCTTTTGCCAAGGGAGGTATTGGTGTTTGCATGTGCAAAAATAAAAAGGGCTCGTATTGATTTTTATACACAAATTATTAATTTTTTTCATCAAGGTACAAAAGTAAATATATTGTAACAGTGTGAAGAATGTTGTTCTTTTTCTGATACTAGGGTCTCCTTAACTATGAGACATTATACCCTGTTCTCCTGTGACAAGAAGCACAGCACCAGACTCTCATTACTATTCTCTTCAGAGCCATATAATGGACACTTTATTAGACACAATTAAGCTGAGAGGCTATTATAGAGACAGAGAAAAACAGGGGAGTACGGAAAGTATAGAAATGGCTCCTTTTGCACCATTCAAATCCTTCTGAGTGACATTCCAGAAAGTGCTCAGGATCACCTGTGGGGAGAGAACCCATCATCATTTTAAAAGCTGTTTGAAATACGTGGATTTTGAGATATACTCAGGTTCAGTCATTTCTATTCCCTATCAAAAATGAACATGTTGTGAGCCAGCATCGTACTAAGCACTAAGATACATGCAAAAGTCATCTCTTCAGGATCTTATGGTCTACTGTATAATACATACGCACTACATGAGCACATTAAAAAAAAAAAAAAACACATGATTTACAAGGTTTCTGAGCAACACAATGTAGAAAGAGTACTGGAACAGGAGTCAGAAGACCAAGGCTCTACTCCCGACTCTTAAAAAAAAATGTTGTGTATTGCTTTGTGACCTTGGACAAGTCATTTTACCTTCCAGGTGCTCTAGTTCTTAAGCTGCTAAATGGAAGCCTACACTATGTCTAGCTCCCTTCTGGTGTTAACATTCTGTAATGCTTTGCTGAGTGACCGTGGTGACCCGCACAAAGCCTTACTTATGGTGGGCATTCCATAAAGATCTAGTGGCTAACCATTGGCAGCTGTGACTGGATTCTCAAATGAGGGGCACAGGAAATAAGGTGCAGCAGAAGTTAAAAGATATAAGAAACATGGTAGCCTGTGTCAGTGACCTCTAGCCAAAGATGACCGGGAGCACAACTGTAGTTGGACAAGTTGGCTTTACTACTTGTTGCAGTGGGGAAGAACAGACACCCTAGGGAACTATGGAGCATGTCAATAAGTTCTTAGAAAGGACTTGCTGTAGGACTTGGGCTTGTGTTAGGTGATTAGGGGAATTTACAGAGTGGGGTTTTCTTCAATTAGTTGCTGTCAAGAAGTGAGAGTATTTCAATGAGTAGGTTTCTAAATAAATCTTATCTAGGATGAGGGAGGAGAAACCAGACCCAGGCTAAAGCTGTAGTTGGAAAAGAAGCAGTTGTCACTCATACTAGCAGGACAAGGCGGGGGGGATGTTTGGCCATTTTTGTGGTAGGACAATGTTCATTATTTTGTCTGTGTTCAGGCCTTGTGTGATATCAGCGTGTTGTGACATTCTCTATGCTCAGCAGCAGAGCACCAAGGCCTCACTAATCGTGCAGGCCATCTGGCTGTGAGGTTGCTCTTCCTCCCCTGGGGGCACAGGCCTGGATTTGGCCTGAGTAGCACGTGCAGGATGGATCAGTTCATGTTCTGCTCCGGTCGGTATTCATACTTCTGCAGCCCACAGATTGGGTGGGAAAGGAGGTGAATATCAGTGGCTGCTTCTTTTCTTTCTGCTTCTTTGTGTACAAACCAAATATAACCACTCCTAACCTCCCAAATTTATGTGTTCTCGGTTTAAGTGAGCACTAAAAATTAATGACAGTCTCTGAATTTTAACTCTAAATTCCCTGGAGAGAGAATATGATTCACCTGTTTAGGTCAGATGACTGCGCCTGTCCAATAAATTTTGACTGGGAGGGAAGGATTATGCAAGACAAATATTGTTCCTCTGGCTTATTCTCTCAAGGAGGGCAGTCATCAGAGAAGGAGGTCATACGTTGGACATTGCCTAATGCAGGGACAATTTGCCCAGGGTCCCTATTAGGGTCTCAGCAATAAGGTAGAATAATAATAAAGCTATTTCCTTTCAAGGCTTTAGTGCTGTACAGAATGAAAGCATTTCTATCATCAGTTTTAACCCTCCCAAGCACCCTGTGAAATGGGGATTATTTATTTCTACTGAAAATTGAGGAAAGTGAGGGACAGCAGAATCAAGAGATTTTCCCCCTACCCTATGCTGCCTGTTAGTCTAGCTCTGAGATTAGAACCCAGGCCTCATGATTCCCGGGACAGCTCTGCCTCCGCAATGAGGGTGAAATAGCTTTTCCCAGGCCCTTGGGGCATATTAATTGAGGGATCCATGGGAATTTGCTCAAGGAGAAATAGCTAGTAAAAGACCATGCCAGGTCCCACCTCGGTTGTCTAATGCTAAGGCCAGCGTAGGAGTAGGGAAACACTAGCGGAGTGGAGCTAGGGAGCAGTCTTACAGAGAATGGAATTGTTTCATTGTTTTTCCTCTGGAAGAGGAGGGAGGTGGTAGCCCCCAAAAAATAAAATAAAATAAAAAAATGACATGGAGACATAAGACTTAATGCAGGCTCTTTCCACACCTGGAAGATTTCGATGAAGCACGGGAACTCTCACTGAGGACAGAAACCCCGTGAGATGTGGGGACATAGGGATAGGAACGGTGAGGAAGATGCCGGGATGATGGGGTCAGCTCAGTGTCAAGTCAGTGTATCATCTCCCCTCCCACAGCCCTGTCTTTTATGCAAAGATTAAAGTGACTACTTCACTTGGCAGGTGGAAGGGGGGGAGCAGAGAGAATAATGGCAGTATGGCTGAAGTCCCCTCAAGCTCCCCAGCTCTGTGATCTATGATTTTAATAAGCTCTATGATGCCAGGAGACCTTATAAAATTGTCTCTGGAGCTGCACTCTCTCCACTTCCCCAAGGCAACAATTGTGCACTGAACTCATTTTATAGATTTGGTTCTTTCTTATTTTACTGGGCTATTCTTGGGGAAAATGCCCCCCAAACTCATCACGTCCTACCGGATCTGGCACTGCAGCCATTAGCATGACAGATGTCACAGTAGTTCATGTTGTCCTCAAGACTCTAACCAGATATAAGCTTTGACTTGAGCTGGTGGAGGATTTTTAAACTCCCTGGGGGACTTGCCAGTGGGTGTTTGAGGAATGACGAGCCAGTTAGGCAATCGCTAGACTCGGAGCGGGTAGAAATCCAAGGAGCATCAACGCATTTGGGGACGTTTGGTATAAGAAGGTTAGGACCCCCAGTAAGGTGAAGGACAAATTTAATAAGTGCTCAGGACATTTCTTTTCTCTTCATGCTGCTATAAAATAAAAGGAGGCAATTATTTTTTTTTTTATCTTTTGGTTTCTTACTCTAGGAGCTGGAGCTGATTTTAAAGGATCAGTAAATTAATCAGTTCAGTCCCCTCCTTTTGTCAGGGCACAGATGTTCCCTGGCTGCAGAGGGGAGAGCCTCTTGCTTGGTGGCTGGAAGGGACTCAGGAAGGAGTGTCGGGAGAGAAGTATCATTCCAGCCGTCAGACAAAGACCCATCAGCCCCTGTACTGTTTGAATTGTGTTGGGGATGGGGGTTCCTCCACCAGGGTGTCCCAGGACAGGTCTTGCCGGGGAGGCAGCAAGTGCAGTCCTCAGAGTCTGCGGTCTGTTTGCAGTGCCGGGCACTCGGCAAATGGTTAGTGAGGGAGTGGACGGCTCCACCCAGAGGATGCCCCTTGCCACCCCCTGGGGTTCTCCTGCAAAATATTTAAAGCTGTTAATTTTGTCTCTGGTGCTCCACTATCACCCTCAGCATTCCCCCAGCACCTACTCCCACTGTGGGGTTGTGCAAGTCCAGCTCCCCTCCCCTGCTTGCTGTTACTTGTTCGCTTTGCAGCAACAGCAGTGTTGCCCTCCACCCGCCCCCCTGCCCCTGGCTGCAGTCATTATCTGTGGGCCACCCAAACCCCACAGGGGACCTAGAGAGGTAGGATGGCAGCCCCGCCCTGCCTCGGAAGGACAGTCACATGTCCACCCCTGGAGCTGTAGTCTTGCTCTGCTACCCTGGAGTCAGACCCACAAATGCTTCGCCCACAGTGACGGGGTCCTCTTTCCTTTTCTGCTGTGACAGTGTGGTCTGATCTGCAGGTCATTCCGCCCAGTCTTCTCCCCTGTCGCCAGTCTCCAGGCTCAGGCCATATGTCAGAGGTCACAGGCTAATTTTCAGATTCCAGTCATCTCTGATCCCGCAGAGTAGATACCATGAGCAATGCTCACCCTCCCGAGTTGAAAAAATTTATGGACAAGAAGTTATCATTGAAATTAAATGGTGGCAGATATGCCCAAGGAATATTGGAGGGATTTGATCCATTTATGGGTCTTGTGATAGATGAATGTGTGGAGATGACAACTAGTGGGCAACAGAACAATATTGGAATGGTGTTAATGCAAGGAAATAGTATCGTCATGTTAGAAGCCTTGGAATGAGTATACATAATGTCTGTTCAGTGGAGAAATCCACGTCCCTTCTCCAAAGGGTTTGTTTACTATGATGTCAAAATTGGGTCATGTACATTTTCATATTAAACTTTTTTAACAAAACAAAACAACCCAAAAATCAAAGGCTAATTTTCTGTGGTGTCAGGGAACTTCACACCCTCATACTACTACATAACCTTCTGACCTCCAGGCAACGATAAGACCTTCTACCCTCCAGCTCCTACCTGGACATCTGGTCTACCCAAAGTCTCCCCACCCTGGGTCCTCTTCAGCTAACAAACCTGACAACTTTGCCACTGGTCTTCCGTCCCAACTGCCTTACTGGCCTTATGTACCACTGATTGACCCAGGACTTGGGGGCAAAGCTCTGGGAAAGGGCTAAACCTTGGGTGAGTACCTACATTCACGTTCATTCATGGAGGAATCATTTATTTCTGGAATCCTATTCCACAGCCCTTAGAAGAGCTGCTTCCTAAGTAGAATTGGCAATTCTTCTCTCAAAGAAATTTCATATTAGATGCCTTCGTTCTCCAATCTCATGCTTGTAATGACATAGATGGACTTGTCACTTTCTCCTTCCCAAGTTGGCTATAAAACGATATTTGTCCTGTTAATGTTTCTTTTGGCACATAGAATAAAACGTATGTTTCCACCAACATTCCAGGTTTTAGGTTTCTGCAGACTTACAACAAGCAGATGTGCTGCAGCTTATAAAAAGAACAGGCTTAGAGGCAGAGTGTGTGTGTGTGTGTGTGTGTGTGTGTGTGTGTGTGTGTTTGTGTCCTTATTCTTTTGCCATAAATCTTATCATGAAATCATGAAAGGAAAGGCTGGGCTTTCAAGGCACAAAAAGATAATCTTCCCCAGTTCTGCCTAGTGGGCCTGAGGAGAATTCAGAATTTGAGGTACGTGGTGGCCCGGAGTGAAGGGGTGAAGGAGCGAAGGACCTAATGAATCACAGAGATTCCTCCAGAGGCATCAGAGGGAGGGTGTGTGCTGTGGTCTCTGGTCACATCCACTGCCCCCAGTGTGGAAAATAGTTTTAGACCTCAACTTCAAAATCACACTTTGGTGGCCCATTCCATTCCCACACCTCAAGTTCTTCAAACATGATCAGGTACCTAATATATCAGCCAAGTGCTGGGTTTTTTGAGAAGGTAGAGGGCAGAAATTATTTCAATTGTCAGGCTATGGAAATCGGAGGGTACAACCTACTCCCAGCCACATAAGCATAAGGTGGCCCTCCTTACTTCATCCCTCTCATCAGCTGTCATGCTCATGGACTTTTGTAATTTTTAACCTAACAATCCTGAGCCCACATCTATGATTTTTACCTGAAAACTTTGGAGGCATTCTACATTCTTCTTTTTTTTAATTTCAGCATATTATGGGGGTACTAATGTTTGGGTTATGTATATTGCCCTTTTGCCCCATTCCCCCAAGTCAGAACTTCAAGTGTGTCCATCCCCCAGATGGTGCACATCACACTCACTATGTACATATATACCCATCCCCCATCGCCCCTCCCACCTGCGCAACATCCGATAAATGTTATTCCTATATGTGCACTTAGGTGTTGATCAGTGAAACCAATTTGCTGGTGAGTACATGTGGTGCTTACTTTTCCATTCTTGGGATACCTCACTTAGTAGAATGGGTTCCAGCTCTATCCAGGAAAATACAAGAGGTGCTGTATCACCATTGTTTCTTATAGCTGAATAGTACTCCATGGTATACATATACCACATTTTATTAATCCACTCATGTATTAATGGGCACTTTGGTTGTTTCCACATCTTTGCAATTGTGAATTGTGATTCTATAAACATTTGAGTGCAGATGTCTTTTTTATAGAATGTCTTTTGTTCTTTTGGGTAGATGCCCAGTAATGAGATTGCTGGATCAAATGGTAGTTCTACTTGTATCTCTTTAAGGTATCTTCATATTGCTTTCCACAGAGGTTGTACTAGTTTGCAGTCCCACCAGCAGTGTAGGCATGTTTCTATCCCTCCATATCCATGCCAACATTTATTGTTTTGGAGCTTTTAGATAAAGGTCATTCTCACTGGAGATAAGTGATATCTCACTGTGGTTTTGAATGAATCGCATTACTTTCTCTGTATGCTAGGTTGATGCTGCCTTCACTTTAGCTCGAATCCATCAGTATTTATCATTTGTTTGAAAGAACAAGGACCCTAAAGTATAAAGCCTGAAGTCCATATAGACAAAGGTGGCTCATAGACAGGACCAAGGCAGCAAGTGAGATGGAGCCTGAATGTCACACACTTCATCAGTGCAGTGGCCCTGGGGACTGAACTCAGAGAACTCATACCTTGAAAAAAAACCCATAAATATTTAGTGAGCTTATAATCAAGGAAAGGCTGATAGAGAACAGAGGCAGTAAATTCTACTCTGAGGCATATGAGAAATATTTTTCTTGGTTGAAAGAATTTATGAGTACTGTGGGGGCAGAGGAGATGAGGAGTGAAGGATTGAGTGTGTGATTTGTTATGATACTTGCTTTCAAGACTTGAATTCACTTCAGTGTTTTCTGCTCACTCCAGCATTTTATATATATAAAATAAAATTATCAGTCCTGCTCTTAGCCTATAAAACGACATACAATTTCAGGAATTCCCCAGCTCTAGTTCTGTTTAAAAGTTTGATTAATTTTTGATTTATTCTTTTTGTGAGTAATCACTGCAAAGATTATCCACTGTGACCTTTTCCTTCATAGTACAAGATGCCATATTTTGCCAAAATTTGCCAATTTTGCAAAAATCTTGGAAGGTCAGTTGGTGGCCAAAGAAAAGACTGAGTACCAACCCAGCCCAGATGCCAGGCAGAGCCCTCGTCCTAACATAATGTGACACTACTGAGCTCCTGGGTTCCTTTCTACAGGCACCCACTTGAGGACAACGAATGTAGTCTAACAGGACATGATTCAATATCCGGACATTAAGTTCTAGAAAAAGTAAGAGTTATGCATTACTCTGGATTCCCTAAAAATATCTTTATGTTGTCTGGTAAACATCAACGTTGTTCAAAACCTGTCTGAAATGGCCCAGTGTTTCCTGAGTGTGTTCAAGAGAATTCATGTCCCTCAAGATGTCCTGAAACAAAGGGTTTCTATACCACGAGCCTGGGAAATGCTGTACATGCTAACCCGTCTGGGAGACTTACAATGTGGGAGAACATACCAAAGGCTCTGAGATGCCCTGCAGCAAAAAAGTCGGTCTAATTTTATTTAACCCAGAATTTCCCAATTCAACTAGACCACTAACTCTTATTAACCATCTCCTGCCACTCTGCCAGGAGCAGCACTGCTCCAGCCACACCTAATTCTGGGTAGTTCTGAAGACAAGTTGTCATCTGTCAAGCACCTGTGCCACTGCTCATTGTACAACCCACCTTGCTAATTCTGCTATTTCTTTAAGATTCAATGTGAGGGCCACCCACTGTGGGAAGTATTCCTTGACCCCCGGGCTGATGGAAATCCTCTTTTCTGTGCTTCCAGAGGGCATCTGCCTCCCTGTCTTAGCATGCAGGACACAATGTTGTGATTACAGATTTGTAATTATACACCTGCTACTAAAGCTTCCTGTGGGCGGGGAATATATCTTACACCTTTGATTTATCAGCCTCTAGGAAAGCACCAGCATCAAAATACACAATAACAGGACATAAATGAGAATTAATGGGATAATATGTGCAAAGCAATGGAGCCCACTTCCCCAGACCTTTTTCTGCTTAGGAAGGCAGGGATTGCATTACTCACCTGGGGTTTCACCATCTTTCCATGGGGGTCCCCAAACCCTTCCTCTCCATCTGGGCTGTGGAAGTGTTTATGAAAGAGACCTGAATAATAAGGCTTATGTTATTTCTTTTTGACTAAATCTCCTGCAATATGAAATTCCATCTATTGACCACTTGACTAGGCATATCAGAACCTATAGTTTTGGGTTTTTTTATATGATTTCAAAGCCTTTATAATGATTTGAATGGGGTCATCCACAGTGGAATTCCACGGGCCTTGGATTCACCAACCCAAATGAAAAATGCAAGTGGCAATGCTTTACAAATCGCTCTTCTCTCTCTCTCTCTTTTTTTTTTTTTTGAGGTTTGAATTTCCATTTTATTTTTAACAATAGCTTCACAGTTAGTTGACAAATTCCTGAACTATATTTGGAAGAATAACAGTATTTAAGATCAGGAGTGTACATGGACAGAGCCGGCTTTCTACTTTTTCTAAATAAAAAATATAAAACATGTGCGTGTTGTGTGAAATTCATGTCAGGGATTTGAGTCTGCCGGCAGAATTTCTGCTCCCCTCTATAGTTTTAACTGTAGGTGCTATGCATGCAGTTGAAGATGGAGAAGTACTGCTCTCAAGCACAGTAGGGCTGGATGGGTCACTAGGAGATGGGGCACATGTCCAAAGTCTTCAACAGAAGAACCATGCTGGGTGTTAAAGAGAAACATCTAAGAAGTAGGTTAAGTGAGTCTGAAGGTAATAGATGTAGTTAACATGTATTTCTTTTTTATTCTGCCAGGCATTGTTCTATGGTGCTTTTATATGTATTAAATAATTTATACATTGTTTACATTTCCACCGAAATGTAAACAATGGAACAGGAAAGGAAATTATCTTATTTTGAACCGGACCCTTTTAAAAAAAACTTTTAATTTTGACATAATTATAGATTCACAGAGAGCTGTAAAAGCAGTGTAGAGAGGTCCCACATGCCCTTCGCCCAACATTCCCCAGTGGCAGCAACTTACATAACCTCAGTGCAATACCAAACCAGGAAATTGACATTGGTACAGTCTACAGACCTGACTCAGGTTACACCAGATTTTACACATACAGTTGACCCCTGCACAATGAGGGGCTTAGAAGCGACAAGCCCCTGTACAGTAGAAAATTCTCTTGTAACTCTTGATTCCACTAAAACTTAACTACTAATTGTCTACTGTTTACTGGAAAC